AACCCTATGCAAGGTCACTATGAGTCAGAATTGACTCCATGGCACTTAATAAAAACAACAACAGGGCCGTATTCCCTATCCATTTCCAGTCATATAAGATAACGAATCTGTATGCCTTTTCCTTGCCTTTCTTGCTCTGATGCAATGGCTAGAATCACTAGTGTAGTTTGAATAGAGTTGGTGAGAACAGATGTAACCTTGCCTTGATCCTGATCTTAGGGGATGCTTACTTTAATTTTTTTGTTGATGCCTTTAAAAAAACTCATACTCAGAACAGGAGACACATTAAGCAAATTTCTTAAAATAGACGAAATATACAAGCAACAGTTTTCAGACATTGGACAATAGGCAACACGTTGACTGGAAGCAGAATTCCCACGCTCTCCTTGATCTGTGCAATTATCTTCGATTATTTTCTCAGTTTACTTTTCACTTTGTGGTTTTTAATAGACTGAGAATCTAACACTGTATATGGTTTAGATTAGGGACTTAGTTTGCACTTCATTGAATCCTGAGCCATTTTCCCATGTTGTTGTTGTGAGGCTCCTTATAATGGCCCTAGGCAAAACAGAATGAATGTTGTCTGATCCTGCGCCAACCTCCAAATCATTCTCATGATTGAGTCCATCGTTGCAGACACTTTGTCTATCCATCTCCTTGGGAAGTTCTCTCTTTTTCACTGATGCTCTACCTTTGTTGTTGTTGTTAAGTGCCGTCGAGTCGGTTCCGACCCAAAGCGACCCTGTACAGGGTTTCCGAGGGTGTAAATCTTTACGGTAGTAGAAAGCCTGATCTTTCTCCTGCGGAGCAGCTGGTAGTTTCGAACCGCTGTCCTTAAGGTTCGCAGCCCGATTCGTAACCACCACACTACCAGAGCTCCTTGATGCTCTACCTTAGCAAGCATGAGATACTTCTCTAGGGGCTGGTCCTTCTTTAGAAGGATGTCCAAAGGATGACAGAAAATGTCTCATCATCCTCCCATCTAAGGAGCATTTTGGATGTACTTCATCCCAAACAGATTTGTTTGTTCTTTTGGCAGTCTATGACACTTTTAATATTCTTTACCAATACCATGATTCAAATGCATGGATTCTACTCCAGTCTTCATTATTCACTGACTAACTTTCACATGCATGTCAGCCATACCTCAGTCCTCAGAGTGGCATTTTTGTTTTTTAACACTTTGAAAAAGTTTTTTGCAGCAAATTTGCCTAATGCAATATGTTGCTTGAGTTTTTGACTGCTACTTCCCTGAGTGTTGATTGTAGATCCAAGTAAAATGAAATCCTTGACAACTTCAATCTTTTCTCTATGTATCATGATTTTGTTTGTTGGTCCAGTTGTTAGGATTTTGTTTCCTATACATTATTATAAATGGCTGTAGTCTTTCATCTTCATTAGTAAGGGCTTCAAGTCCTCCACACTTCCGTTTTTCGTATTATTTTCTTTTTTCATACCATTAATTAAATTGCCTATTTTTTCTCTACACATTTTTGGGCCATATTTTTTGACATTAAGTTTCCACATGTACTTAAAGATACTATTAAACTTTTTTGTTCTCTTCCACTAATTTATTTTTCCTGTTTTGGTGTTTATCCCACCTGCTTTTTAGTATATAGATTTGTATTGTGTCTCTTGTCTTTCAAACCTTATGCTTTTAATTTCCTTTTATTTCATTATAGTATTGGTTGGAATATCTTCTACCATGTTAAACTGTTGTTGTGAAGTGCCATTGAGTCAGTTCCTACTCATAGCGATCCTGTATAGTGTTTCCAAGGAGTGACTGGAGAATCTGAGCCACCAACCTTCAGATTAGTAGCCTGGTGCTTATCCTACAGAGTCATATCAGGACTTGACTGTGTTAAATAGCAATGATAATAGTGGCTATGCTTGTCCTGTTCACAGTCTTAGAATATATTTGCATAAAATTTCTCTTTAAGTATCTTATTTGACTTTCCCTTTGTCGTACTATATGTAATAGATACATTGGGGCAAGTACAAGATTCAGAAATAGGTTTGCATTTCAAGTTGTTTGTATACATTTGCACAATGACTAATACATCAATGAGCTTGAAATGCGAAAGTGATTATGTGTAGCTCTGAATACTTTTTGTACTAAAAAGATCAATTATCTGATGTGCATTTTATAAATGTTGAATACCTTAGAATTAGAGTGTGTCCTTTAGTTATATGGCAACCTAATTTTTACAGGAAAATTTATTCTATGGGAATAATCTAATAGAATAGACTTTGAAGTCAGGTATAATTAGCTTCAAAATGCAGTTTTATTGTGTTCTATATGAAATAAATCAAGATATATTGCTTCTTTGAGTGTTAATTATCTCATCTGTAAAATTAAGACTCAAATATCTACCTCCCAGGATAGTTACAAGCATTAAATGATATCTGCCTCTAAGGAACCTAAGCATATAGATTACAATAAAAATTCATGTCCCTTTGGTAGATGCTTGTTTATGATGTTTATTGACTCTATAAAAATGAAACAATACCCATGTCCCCCTATTACATTTTGTGATGTATCTAAAATTCTGTAGCACTTTTAATAACTTTAATAAAGTCTCAGTAGATGATCATTTTGAAAATATGCATTATACTTTTCAATATCATGAACCAAAAGTCCTTGAATAAATGCATATAAATTCACTTGAAAAAGAAAACCAGTATTGCTACAACGGCAATCAATTGATAGTTGCATAATTCCATTTTTGGATTCAACTTTCTCTCAATTGAGTGTTTAGCATCACAGGTACACACTCAGAATAGAATATCGTTACCCATATAGTAACTTAACTTTACTATATTTAAATATAAA